TAATAATAATAATAATAATAATAATAATAATAATAATAATAATAATATATTGTAAATTCTAACTTACAGGATCCAATTGTTTGTTCCAATAAAAATCTCCCTTTCCATCCATGAAACATTATAACAAATGTATCACATTTGTGTAACATTTTGATCAATTTATCATCCATATGTAATATTCAAATAACAACCAATAATCAGTTTGATGCATTTTGGCCTCTAACAAATGTCAAATCAACCTACATAAATACTTTTTGTAAAGACCAATCTAAAGTACAGAACACAATAAGACACAAACAGCTTGTTAACTGAGCATTTAGGCCCTTAAGACTACTAAACTTTCTAAGCTTAGTTATATTTTACCTCTAGGGTATATTTCAGTACTATTTCCAATAAAAATAAATGAATATCACAGACAATCAAACCACTTAATCATGTCTTTATTACAAATTATAAGCATTGACTCTGCTTATATGTGACTGAGTTGGCCTGTTTTGCACATTATTATACACTTTTGATTAAATGTATCTATAAAGGGTGAAAATGTTGCAGAGATAATACCATCCTAACCAAGTGTAGATATTAAAGGCCATTGTTCTCCCGGAATACATGGCTGCTTCAGTCAAAGAAAAAAGTGCAAGGACATTCATCCATCCATTTTCTGAACCGTTTATTCCCAAATGGGGTCATGTGGGGACTGGAGCCTATCCCAGTATTCAATGGATGAGAGGTAGGGTACACCCCGGATGGTCCGCCAGTCCATCGCAGGGCTACACATCTTTACACACAAGGACGCACAACCATGCATACTCTGCAAGGGCATTATGAGGCATAAAGGATAAACGCAGCGTTCTCATAACAACGACTGCAAAACTGTTTGCTTACTTAAATGAGTTAGTTGAATAATTTAGTAATAAATCAATTCTTTTAAGTAATTTTATTCAAATTGGTAACCTTTGTTTCACATGTGTTTATAACCAGGCTAGAATGCATGTCCTGCTTCTTGAGGATACAGCGCATGGTGCCAACCAGTCTCCTCTTTGAAGTGTGTGATAGGTTGGTAGTTGTAATAATTGCCTATTCAAAACACAGCTCAGGGCCTGTTTAAATGCCTCTTCACTAATGTACCATTAAACTCCTCTTTCTCCTATTTATTTAGCTCCTGAGGCTCTGTTAAATTGATGGGTGCTTTAAGTTGATTTATTGCTTGATTCTAGTGTTTTTCTCATGTAATACATATATTTTGATAGAAAACAGAGTAAAAAAACATTATATTCGATGAGATATATAAGGAGTACTTATGG